TATTTCAAATAAATTAAATTTCAAACGAACCGAACGCGTTCGTGCTCGATTCATTTACACCCCTAATGACTATTGAGTTGAGCTTGCTCAGCTAAAAAGTCAAACTCAAACTAGCCCCAACTTGCTCAACTTAGCTTGTGAGAGGGCTTTTCCTGGAAAATATTAATATAGATATATTCATAATATAAAAAAATTAAATACTTAATCATTAAATTAACACTGCTTATTTAAAAATTATAATTTATATATGATGTCAATTGACTTCTTATTCTTTGTCTTCTTATTATTATTTTCATTTGTCATTTTATTCTAACACTAACTTTAATTAATAATTTTTCATCTCTTTTATGATAAACAAACCGGCTCAAATTAATAAATTTAAGTTCGAGATCGAACTCTATTAATTGCACAAATTCAATAATATTAAGTAAATTGATATTTCACTAAATAAATTGATATTTCATGCAATTAAATTGAATTAAATATGTATTGCAATATATATTATTTACTCACCTGGCTCTTTTATATAATGAGCAATTATTGTTGCTGGACACAAATCACTATAATACATTTTCTTAGTGTCCCTATTGTTGCTGGACACAAATCACTATAATACATTTTTTTAGTGTTTTTAATTGGACATCAGGCACAAATTTACGTTTATTATTTTGATGCAATAAAAAATCGTCAGCTCATTGTTCGCGAACATCTCGTGTTTGACTCATTACGAAGCTCGTGTTCAATTCATTCTCTAAGTTAACGAGCTGAGCACAAAACACTTTTTTCGACTTGAAATTCTACTTATCAACTATATATATATATATATATAAAAGACTACAAGGCAAGATAGATTTATAATCTGATAAAATTATAAAATAAAAAAATAGAATAAAATTTTATTAAATTATATTTAAATAATATTTTACTATAAATAATAAGATTTTAATCCTGCCCTAATCTTTATTATCCTAACCTAATTTGGGTTATCAAAATAACTACTTATCCGCGAACAGTTTGTATTAGGCTAGCTAAATAAATTAGCCGAACACTTTGACATATAAACACGAAGAACAGGAATGGACGAGTAATGTTTTCTTAAGGAGCAGGCGTTTACACCCCCTACCTGGATCGTCAACAGCGGCATTTCAAATATATTCTCAGCCGGAGGAAAATAAATCAGCTCTCCCAACTTCTCCGGCTCCGCCGAACACACGTCACCCAAATCCTCCATCTCCCACTCCGCCACCGCCTCCACGAACGGAACACCGCCGCCGTTCATCCGTACCACGAGCTTTCCTCCCTCGTCCACTCCAAAGCGGCCCTCGAACGGATAGAAGTAAGTGAGCACCTTTTCCAGCGACGTTCTCAGGACCTCGCAGGCGTTTTCGGTGCTCCGACCATCCTTCGCAGTGTAGCAGTAGATTGTCTTCATCGTGACCACAAGGTTTTGGTCTAGGTTTGACAGGAAGTAGGTGCCGTCGCCGCCATCCGGAGTATCTCCGGCGGGGTGTAAGAGCACCGGCGGCGAGCGGGTTACTTTGATGTTGAGTTTGACGTTGGTGTTCCCGTTTTGTGCTTCGGACATTTTGTTGTTTAATTGATCCGAGTATTCTGAACATTTCATGATGCGGAACGTTATTTAGAGTTGCACCATCTAAATAATATATACATATATATATACACACACACAACATTCACATATGTTAAAAAAATACATATAAAGAGGGTCAGTCTATACCTATAGCTGCTTCGATCGGGTGAGAAATTAAATAAGGTAGGCCTGTGAGGAATTTAAGTTCGCAGATCTACCCGGTATTTATATAGATTTATGTAGCTAATGAGATTGTATCGAAGTCGTGCTCGAGGCTCACCAACTCCAAGTAAATAAATGAATATATATAATTATATTATTAATTATGAAGTTGGTTGGGAGGTCAATAGTCCACATTAAGGAGCTTGTGAAACATTGCCACCACAAATCGGCTGAAATGAATGAGCAGTCAGCCCAATATTATGTTTAAAAGCTTAAGTGTAATAAATCTTTAAAATATCTTGTTTTTTATTTTAAAGATTGGAGTGAGGGCCTGACTATTACTACTTTCATCTTCTTAGATTTTTTTAGAATTATTATTATAAGTATGATTATTAAATTTTAAATAAAAGTAATATTAAATTGTTATTAAGTATTTAAGTTTATGGGCAAAATTTTTAACTTATTGTATGAGATTAAAGAGTTGGGTAAAAAAATTAAGGTAGTGACTGCTCATAAAAAAAATATATATATATCAAAAATATCAGCACAAATTTCAAAGAGAACGAACGACCAAGATATAAGAGTCTTTTTTTGACATAACCAATCAATCGACGATTCAAGACTGATCATGAGGTCGCGTCTCCAAACCCGGGATATGTTCAAACTCTGGAGATGGTTCCCGCTCTGTAGCGATAAGACCAGCTGGAAGTAGGGGTGTAAACGAGTCGAACACGAGCCAGCCCGAGCCAGCCATGGCTGACTCGTGTTTAGAGCTGGAAGTAGGGGTGTAAACGAGTCGAACACGAGCCAGCCCTCGTTGAAAAATATCACTATTTGTGTTCAATTCGTTTATATTTCAAACAAAAAAGTGTGTCTGTGTTCGGCTCGTTTGCTTAGGGAGCCGAATACGAGTTGTTCTCAAACAAAGAGTCGTTTTGACAACTCTAATCATGCAGTCGTAGGATGTTAAGTGTTAGGCTACTAATCACGTAGCCATAATAATTTAAATCTTATTATTTATATTAAAATATCATTTGAATCTGATTTAATATAATTTTATTTTATTGATTTAATAAGTAGTATTTCGAGTCAAAACGAGCTGAACACGAAGAAACAAATTTTTGTTCATGTTCTGCTCTTTTATATATCGAGCTCAAAAAAACTGTTTGTGTTCGGCTTGTTAACTTAATGAGAGAATCGAGCACGAGCTCCTTAACGATCTGAAGACAATATGTTTGCAAACAACGAGTTATTTTGACAACCCTAGTAGAAATTGAGGCATAAATCATTCCAGCAACGAGCGTCGTCGGATACCGCGCATAGGCTACGACAAGATCTGCCTAAGGCTTTGCAAAATTGGGAGACTCGGCCGAGTCGACAAACTAATCAGGTAGGCGAGACAAGAGCCTTGCAAGACTCGAGTCGAACAAAAAATGAGCCACGACTCACTCAATGGAAAAAATCGACCGATCTTGCTCGACTGACCAAACTTGCGTCGGGACCAAACGATCTCCTCTTAACTGATCGCTTGGTCGACTGTGTCAAAAGAAACCGAGCAAGATCGTCATACGACCGAACACCTCGATTGACTCACACATACTCCAGATGGCATGGATGTCACTCGTCTGGTTGCCTCAATCGGCTGACTTCAAACTAGCCGACCGATTAATTACTGCTAATGTTGAAATTCAAATTGTAATACAAATATGAAATAAAATCTATATAATTAATTAGAGTTTTAATGACATTAAGAACGTGTTCTATAATTGTTCCCTTCTTTCTGTAATTATACACAACATGCGTTTACAAGTATGGGGCAAAAAAAGGAATAAATGGGACATCTTCCTCGATTCTCCATGAAAAAAATTACCGACTTATTCTACTCTCTCTTTCTTCTCTTCTTCACCAGACTCTTAACTCTCGGGGAGTATTTACAAAGGACTAACTAGGATCTAACAATATGCAAATTTATAGATAAGAGAAGAAAAGAATCCAAATAAAACCATAATTTTTGGGGCTAGTGTTTTATATTGACAAGAATAAGTTACACCGGAGTTACATAAGTAAAAAGAGAGAAAATAATAAAATAGTAAGTTACCCATAAATAATATTAATACTACTAATAAATGTTTCCCATAGTAAACCCTTAATTCGACTGCTCATTTTAATATAATTCCATTTCATTCTTTTTTTTTTGGGCAGGGTGAACACTCAAACCCAATACTTTGTGATTGTTCACTTTGTTTCTATAAAATGTGTTATGCATTCAAGCACATATATCATGATTGTTTATATATATATATAAATCCCACTCCCTCCCCTACAGAGCGATCTATATGTATATATATATATATATATATATATATATATATCCCCTTTGCTACAGAGCGATCTATATCTCGAGCATATTTCCCGGACATTCTCATGTCCAACAATAAAGAAAATATCGTCTCCAAATCATAGCAAAAGTAATTGTTTTACAACTACAGGCATGAAATGATGACAAATACTAAAAGTATTGCTTTGCTTTCTTTACAACATCAAATAAATAGCAATTTTTAAGTTTCAAACATTCACTCAAAAAAAATCAAATCAAAGGAATAATTTATGAATTTATGCCAATATGTTCCTTACTTTCATAGAAAACTGAAGACCAATTTATTGATAGCTACAAATAAGGAAATAAAATGTTGCCATAGAACGTGGCCGCTTGCAGCTCAAGAAAAAATTCGAAGTGTTCAGTTGACACTTGACAAAGGTAAATATGGACGGCTGAGGTATCTTCCACCTCTTAACTCGACGGTATAGTGTTCGCTGCTAAAAGCCTCTCTTTAATGTTCTTCCATTAATTAATTAGTCGATTTCTCAGTCAAGCAACAGTTAACGTCCAACGATATAATTAAGCAAATATTTAAAGTTTAGAATTGATAGATGCTTAGCCTATACGCATCACCATTATTAAGATTTATCTTCATTCTTCATCACCATTATCATTACTATTTTTCCATTTATTTTGGTAGGATTCAATAGCTATCCTCTCTCTACAATTTTATATATATATATATATATATATATATTATATTTCAAAGAATGGAAGAAGGATATTATATGAGCTCTCAGCCACCTTTATGTGTTTAACTAATTGAGGACCGTCCTCACCATCGGTAAACTAGCCAGAGGGGGATTCAAACACGTGACCTGAGGGGACTTACGACATTCAAAGAGACGTGCATATATAT